GTTATTTTCTGAGCTAATCTAAGGACAATCTTGTTTCTGCCTTGTCCTCAGTCAACAAATAACAGAATAACAAAGTTGGAAGGGACCTTGGAGGACTTGTAGTTCAACCCCCTGCTCAAATAGGAAACCCTATAACATTTCAGACAAATCCAATCTCTTCTTAAAAACCTCCTGTGTTGGGGCACCCACAACTCCTGGAGACAAGTTGTTCCACTGATATGTGGGAGACCAGTCATCCTTAAGAGCAAAATTTCCCTCTCATTCTGATACCATCCAATGACAACTTCAAAGTGTGTAATATCTGTTAGACTTTGACACCCATTACTCTGGAGAGAAGTTAGCCTTCTCCAGTAACTGCAAAGAGACCTATGAATCAGTGATGAAGACAGCAAAAAATGTAAATAAGAAATGTCAGTATAGCTTTCTACCAACTCAAATCATTCATGAGTGACCCGGAATGATACTTTGTAGGATTAAAAATGCTTTGTGGTTCAGAAATTTATGAGCTGTTGTTCTTTGATTAGAAAATCCCTATTTAAAGTTGTTACATTTTCTTGAATTACTAGAGTGTTATACGTTTCTTTGGCTAGTGATTTTCCTAACTTTGTGCAAGAAGAAGTTCTTTTTAAAATAATTATTCTGTCTCGAGGTTTTTCTGGGTCAGGCAATGTTAGAATATCTGGTGGAATTCTCTCTGAAGTCCTTCCAGTAAAGACTGCAGAGGGAGTATGCCAAATCAGCACATTCTCAGCTGTTTTTGCCAGCCACTTTTCTAAGCTTCCCATGATTTTTATTTTAGGCTGCTCTGTGTCAATGAATGGTGCCGTCTTCCCAGGAAAGCACGTTCCCTGAAGCCAAAACACAGGGATAATATTTGCATAGTAATTTTATTAAATGTTACAATACAAAGATAAAAACTAATATTTTTTTTAAAAAAATACAAAAATACAAAATGCAAATAATATAAAAGAAAAGGAAAATAAAAAAATAAGACAAAGAAATATATAATTTCCCTTTTCTTCACAATTTTCTTAAAATACAGCAAATAATATCTTCTTCCCATATTTCATCTCCCATCTATAAACAATCCTTCAGATAGCCTCCTTGTTCAATTCCAATCAGCAAAAATGAATTACAAATTACAGAGATAACATTATCTATTTTAACCTAGATCAGATAAACCATGTTTATATTCCTTCAGTTTATGTTGATTAGTAGAGCTGGGAAATACTTTGAATTTCATTATGGAAAGGTCTTTTGTAGTGTTTGGGAGCACAAATGCATCATCTATCTATGAGTCATTAAAGAAGCAGCATTTAATGAGGTTCTGCATTCACTACTGTTTCCCATGCAGTCCAAAGCATTGCACAATTCTTTTGTTTGTTAACTTCTACAATAATGATGAGAATCAGCATGACCCAACAGAGAGATGATATAACATAGATCAGTATGTCTTATGTTATTGCATCTAATTAGATACTACTTTGACATCTAATATTTTGGAAGCCTCTTGCTAGGAATGGAATTAGGGAGTGTTGGTTTTTTTTTTAATGAAAAGGATACATTCTATTACTGAGTTATGGTGTTTAGGATGAAAGCCTTAAGGAATCACTAAGTAGTTTAGGGCTAGTGGCTATACTTCTGTCTATCTCCTATAAATATGAATTATAGCCCAAACTGAATGGGAGGGGGAAAAAAAGTTAAGGAAAGAAAAAGTTATGAATAACCTGTTCTTCAGTCTTTATAGCCAACCAATGACAAATGAGGATTAAGAAAATTAGAGTAAAACATCATAGCAATATCTCAAAAGTGCTTTTTCAAAAGGCAACTGAAGCTTCTTCAGTTCTGACTGACTTTGGCGGGAACTGAAGAAGTCTTGGATGAGAAGTGAAATGTCTTCAAGGAAAAACAAAGTCCAGTTGCCTTTTGAAAAAAGCACTTTTGAGACAACCATAAACTGGATGGCTGAGAATCTCCATAGACATCATAGCAATATGACCACATTAAGAAACTATATTGCCCGAACAGAGGTGAGGATATATGCCTGGTTACAGTGGAGCATGTTCCCTGATTTTAAGTTCATTGTGACCATGAGAACCAAGAAATGGATTGACTCGGCATCACACAAGCAGTTCAGGAAGTAGAGGCAGAGCAAAATTTCCATGATTGCATAGCTTCATTTGATGCTGGAGCCCATCCAACAGGGCTATTGATAAATGTGTGCTACAATTGTTCTCTCTTCAAGAGGAGGAAGCAATTAAGCTCTCTCCAGATCAGTAAGGAGATGGAAATGAGACTGGCTTGCAAACTGTCTGAAGGCCTTATCATCTTTCTTGTTCTCATCCCTGTCAGGGATTCTAATCAGGTAGCTGGGATTCCATCTAAATAAAACTGAAGCAACAATCATAAAGCAATATTTATTGCCTGTTGGCATTGCCAGTTTCATTCCTTCTTTATGTTGCACTGCTTTTGAAGATGGGTGCTGAATCACCTTTTGGCTAACAGCCAGCTAATTCCTGCATTTCTGGCTATCTTTGGGAAGTTGGGATACTACCCTGGCAACTTATGCCCACTTATCCTCAAGTGAATCCATTAAAATAAGGGTCAGGTTTCACAGGTTTGACTTCTTTCGATTCATCTCTAGCCAAAGAGGCTCAACTATAGATACTTGTCACAGAGAAGCGGACAGTGTTATAGGGGACATATATTCTAGCCCTCCCACATTCATTTATTATTTCGCCTTGTTAATTTGCTACTTAGCTTGAGCAGTTGCTTGCAACAAGCTATTTTTATTCCTTTGATGTAAGTTTCTCTTCTGCAGGCTTTTAGTGCCCTGCTTTCAGGGGGTTTGTACGATTACTCAAGTATAAAAAGTTTTGCCTTTATCCATAACAGGAAGCCTTGCTAACATTTTTATCTCATAATTATGTAAGTACAGTTATATATTACGAATTCCAGAAAGGCCAAAACAAGAATAACAGAATGCTACAATATAAAAGAGCAATATATTATTTTTTTAATGTGATTTACAGTGTTAGTGTGTGCCCATATAAAGATTATAGGATTCAGTTTCTGTTGGAAACTCTTTGTCTCTCTTTCAGCTGGAGCCAGTTGGCTATAAGCAGCCATATAAACATTTCACCAAGGAAAGGCTGAAGCTCAAATGTCCAACCTCAGTAAGTAGCAAGTTAGCTCCTATAAAACTCTAACTCTGTAACATGAACATAAAAGCACAAGAAAGGTCCTTCTGAATCTGGGTGAAAACTAAAAACCGTCTGGTTCAATATCCAGGCAAAGCAGATGCTTCTTGGAAGCTGATAAGCAGCACCTAAGCCTTTTTCCCACATGGAGCCATTAATTCCAAAGGTAGTACATATTTACCATATCCTGGTAACTGTTAGACTCAGTAACTATGTTTTCACCTCACAGTTTGAATCTGTCCAACAAGCCCCCCCGTTGAAAACTTTTTAAATGATAAACTAGATCTGATGTTTCTTGTATGGGAGCACTGCTGTGCAGGATTTATTAGAAAATAAATAAATCCAAACAGCCAAATTAGACTGTTTTCTTCTTTTTCCTTCTGCTCCTCCTGTTCCTGCTCCTCCCCCTTTTCTTCAAAATGCCAGGGATATTTGCTGATAGTTCATCCAGACCAAATCTCCCTTTTTAAAAAAAAAAAAAAAAATTCAATTAACTTTTCATTGTTTTTAATAAACAAAAGAAAAAAGAGAAAAACAAAAATGATGATAGAAATACATACATTGTCAAAGAAAAGAAGAAAGCACGTATAAAACGTGCTTTTAGCAAAAAAGTGAAAGAAATATGACAAAGGAAAAAATGATGTATGTCATTATAACAAACAGTTGCAATTCTATATATACTTATCTAATGCTTATCTACATATAGTACTATATGTAGATATTTTAATACATTTATGTAACTTCTTTGTAACCTATTGTATACTGTATAAAAGACTCCCAGATTTCATTATACTTGTCCATATAAAATCTCCATCCGTTCATAGGCAATCCGTTCATTAGTGGCAAAGCCAATCATGTCTTAATCCACTGTTTTGTTTTGTTTTTTCATTTTTAACAACCTCCAGCAATTATTAAATTGGGACAAATTATTAACACTTTCCAGTCATATTTTCCCAATTAATATTATCATGCCTGGTCTTTAGAATGGTTCTATCCCATAGAGAAGAATTACATACTATAAAATTTCCCTAAAGTTGTAAATATTTCTGAATGAGAGGGGAAGAGACAGATTGAGTTCACAGACTACAGCAAATAGTCTAAAAACAGATGTCAGAAACAGTTTTACGGAAATGGGTAATAATGTACAATTGGAAAAGAAGCATGTGCAAAAAGTGAAGCCTTTTAGCATGAGTAAAGCATCACGGAGAAAATAATGATAATAAGCAGAGTTAAGACAGTAATGAAAAGAATAGACCATCTCCAGGCATCAGTAGTAAAAAATTCTCCTTACCTGTATTTCATTTGAGTTTATTAAAAAGTGCCAATCCATCATGAGATTTATGCAATATATGAACAATCTGACTGCCTAAAAATTTAGATAGTATCAAGACTAGTATAACCTCTTCAAGTCATATTTGTCCCACTTCTAATGGAGCCACAGCTAGATCTTCTTTTCAGAAAAAAAAAAAAAAACATCAGGAAAGGATGCCACAGAGCTGAGAAGGATTAATTTTTTAAAAAAAAGGCCTGAGATTTGCTTGTAAGCAGGATACTAGTAGGGCCTGGTAGAGAAAGGGAAATCTGCTACAATAACGAATGAAAGATGACAGCAAATGAAGAATAGATACGTTAAGAACGGAAAGGATTTAAGCAATTATGTATACCATTATGCTGACATAAGTACAGGGATTGAGGATAATTACATTAACCACTTTTTTTGCCGTAAAATCCTTCTTAATATATTTAATGATGTTTACTTAAATTTGCAATGATGTTAACTTAGATTTGCATAAGTCTCACCTGGATAGGAGAAGTTCCATCCCCATTTTATTGCTTTGCTATTGAGAAGAAATGTTTACTCTCTCATACCCTCAGAATAGAGCAATCTGTCATAAATAGACCACTCTCTAAAGGTTTTGTAAATGTTTTCTTTCTGCTGTAGGAATACCCATATCTTTTCACCACAAGAAACAGCCAAATGCACAATTCAGTACTGGAAACAAAGTCCAATGGAGACAGCATACCTTACTGGGCTGTGATTATAGCGGCCACAACTGGAATTTTGGCAGGATCCCTGATTGTTTGGGGTCTGATGACTCATAAAATCAACAAACGCTCAAGGGCAAGAGATGCAGCAGCTGAAGAGAAGACAACGTTTTAAATGTGCATCTGAGCCAAAGAGGTTTAACATATGCTACCTCTTGTGACATGAAAAAAGCAACATGGAAGCTTTGCACTTGCTATTTTTAACTACAGTTTTCCATCTAAAAGTGGAATAAATGATCTCATCCCATCTTGAATAGCTAGACCTAGTGAAAGCTAATGCTTAGCCGTTATTAAACGTGGGAAATATAAAGAGATCTTACCTGGCAAATAAAAAAATAATATATGTAATCTCCTTTTCCGATAAATACAGTATCACTTTTTCATAACGTTGTAATTATCCAGTTTTGTGCCTCTTACGAAATTTTATCATGTGTCTAGATCACATTGTCTCCCCTTCGTGATTCCCTTGCCATCTCTCTAGTTGTAATCCTCTCCGTCTTTTCTCTTAGCTCAGAAGGTAAACCTGAAATAACTGCACAATGAATTTGGAACGGTAGTTCACAGGTGCTCTCCACATGGAAGCATCTATATTTTTTGTTGGTGTGACGGAGATGCCAAGTTTCCAGTGTTACTAATTTGTCCCCTGTAACAGGGTATTCCACTGGGTTCATAAGATTCAATAAATACTATCATGCAACCCTTCTGGATTCTCCCCCCACCCCCGTCACTTATTACAGATATAGCTAGCAGCACTCTTTCATTTTGTTTTCTCCAGCCTAGCTCCATTAACAAAATTCCCATTTGGATAATGACACACCAATGCTCACTTTCTTCACCTGTTGATAATGCTGCTTCTTGCCTTTCTAAATTGCCTTCAAGAGAAGACATTTTCCCTTCTTCTCTTGAATATTATAGTCTAAGGCAGTGGTGTCAAATGTGCGGCCCACGGGCCAGATGCTGGCCACATGCTGGCCACGCCCACCTCTGGTTTAGTGAAGGGGAAAAAAGTGTTGAATTGTCCTGTGGCAAGTTATCCTGTGGCAAATTGGCTGTAGTGAGTTGGCTGTGGCGAGTTGTTCTTGCAAATAGAGAAATGGATTGCCCATGAAGTTCACTGAACTGCAATTCTGCAAAGAAAATAGTTTCGTTGCAATCTGGAATATATTGCAGTTGATGCAAATAAATCTTAGCACCATTAATATGGTAAGATCACAAAGAGTTGGTGATGTTTTTAATCTGGGATAGACTGAAAAATAACAGTTTGAATGCTCTATTTGTGTATGTAACACTCAATTACACAACTGGGCTATAAGTGTAGCTAATTGTTTTTAGCAATTCATTCCCAGATTAATTTGCCTTGCAAAAGTATGTGCTACTCTTAGATTGTAGGAGGAAGCCAGGAAAAGCACCTGGGTCAGACAAGATAACTCCTCCTTGCTTAAAAGTCTGTGCTGACCAATTGATCCCCATCTTCACCTGAATCTTCAATAGATTACTAGAGATGTGCTATGTTCCTTCCTGCTTCAAATGCTCTACTATCATCCCAGTGCCAAAGAAGCCCTCCAAGGAACTGAATGACTACAGACCAGTTGCTCTAATATCTTTAGTTATGAAATCTTTGAAAGGCTTGTGCTGTCCCACCTGAAAAGCATCACGGATCCGCTGTTAGATCCCATGCAGTTTGCATACCGAGCAAATAGATTGACAGATGATGCTGTTAATATGGCTCTGCATTACATCCTACACCTTGAATCTCCAAATACCTATGCAAGGGTCCTCTTTGTAGACTTCAGTTCAGCATTCAATACCATCATTCCAGAAACTCTTCTAAGTAAATTAAACCAACTAGCAGTATCTGAACACACTTGTAAGTGGATCATAAGCTTTCTAACAGACAGGAAGCAGCAGGTGAAGCTAGGCAGAATCACATCTGATACCTGTAGAGAAAGCACAGGGCCCCACCCAAGGCTGTGTGCTTTCTCCACTTCACCCTATATACCAATGACTGCATCTCAAACGATCCATCTGTTAAAATACTGAAGTTTGCTGATGACATAACAGTGATTGGTCTCATTCGAGACAACGATGAATCCGCATACAGACAGGAGGCTATACAACTTGCCTCGTGGTGTAATCAGAACAATCTGGAACTGAACACACTCAAAACTGTAGAAATGGTGGTAGACTTTAGAAGAAACCCTCCCATACTATCACCTCTTACAATACTAGACAACACAGTATCAACAGTAGAGACCTTCAAATTTCTAGGTTCTGCTATATCACGTGACCTAAAATGGACACCTAACATCAAAAACATCATCAAAAAAGCACAACAAAGAACATTCTGCGCCAACTCAGAAAGCTCAAACTGCTCAAGGAGCTGCTGATACAGTTCTACAGAGGAATTATTGAGTCTATCATCTGCACCTTTATAACTGTCTGGTTTGGTTCTGCAACCCAACAGGACAGACCCAGACTTCAGAGGATAATTAGGACTGCAGAAAAAACAATTATTACCAACCTGCCTTCAATCGAGGACCTGTATACTGCATGAGTCAAAAAGAGGGCTGTGAAAATATTTACAGACCCCTCACATCCCAGACATAAACTGTTTCAACTCTTTCCCTCAAAATGACGCTATAGAGCAGGGATCCCCAACCTTTTCGACGCCGCGGCCCGGTTCCGGCGTCAGCTGGGCGCCGCCATCTTTTTTTGACGAAAAATCACTTCCGGTGACGTCACCGGAAGTGATTTTTCGTCAAAAAAAATGGCGGCGCCCAGCAACCAGCGGCCCGGTAAGGCTTGTTCCGCGGACCGGTACCGGTCCGCGGACCGGCGGTTGGGGACCCCTGCTATAGAGCACTGCACACCAGAACAACTAGACACAAGAACAGTTTTTTCCCCGAAAGCCATCACTCTGCAAAACAAATAATTCCCTCAACACTGTTCAACTATTACATTACTGCTAATCTTCTCATTGCTCCTTATCACCCATCCCCTCCCACTTGTGACTGTATGACTGTAACTTTGTCACTTGTATACTTACGATTTATATTGATAGTTTCCTAGTATGATTTGATTGCTTATTGTACCCTATGACTATCATTAAGTGTCGTACCTTATGATTCTCAACTCTTAACAAATGTATCTTTTCTTTTATGTATACTGAGAGTATTTACACCCAGACAAATTCCTCATGTGTCCAATCACACTTGGCCAATAAAGTATTCTATTCTATTCTATTCTATTCTATTCTATTCTATTCTATTCTATTCTATTCTATTCTATTCTATTCTATTCTATAGAAATTCAACAGTAGAGATGTACTGTGCTAATTGGAGATTAGCATTCAATTACAGGTTATAGCTAGCCAGGAGACAGCATCTATTCAATTTTGGCTGATCTAGAAAAGTTATGCACAGTGAACCTAGGATCGGGAGCTACCAGAAATCCCAAGTTGTAGGTTGGACTGAGAAATTGAAAAAAGGCTATGACAAATCTTTTCCGCATTTTTTGCTGAGAAAATGATAGTCTTCGGACATTGAACTTAACTTGGACTGTTTATTTACCAACAATTTAAAAGATAGAATGAACATTTTCAGGATGAAAAATAAGTTACATGTGCTAAAATAATTAGGGGATAGGAAGACCAAAAAATTTGTAATAAATATTTGGGAAAAAACTATTTTTGAAACTTAGCCTCTATCTTAACTATGGACTAGTTAAAGCATTTTCTTTTAACCATCCTGCAACTCTGATTACTCAATGCTGGATAATCTCAGATTCTAATCTTAGGATGCAGGAAGCAGAACACAGGATTAAGTTATATATTCTAAGACCATAGTCAAATTTGCACTTGCCTTTTCTCTTATCACGCAAGAGAGATTTCACTGCAGCAGTGCTTAGTTTCACAATCCAACATACCAACCATCTTCATGCATCAATTACAGAGCAACAAATATCTAGACAGCATCGTGAACTTGGGAAGAGGTTTTAATCTGTTCCGGATTACTGAGCTAGAGCATCTATTCCTCCAAAATAGCCTGGCTCCATATACCACACAGATATGCCTCCTGCAGTACATACCAAATGCCAGTACATTGTTGTCCATGAGCAGATATAAAATCTAAACAAAAAATCCTGCTAATCTTGAATGTATTTTTCTCTCGTCCTAGCACACACAAACACAGAGACACACAGACAGACAGACACATAGAGAGATCCTGCCTTGGCTTTGAAGTCTCTCATTCTGGCAATACTGCTAGGAGGCAATATCAAGTGGACTTCTATTGATCTTAAAAAAAATAAACAGGGTTAAACTGGATGGGAGATCATCAGGAAATTCTAGAGTTATAGCAGAGACTGGGACATTAAAAAGCATCCAGAAAGAAGGCAGAAACAGTTGACTTCTGTACTACAGGAAAAGGAGATGGATGTGCCCTTGCAGTCAACAGGAGCCAAGCACAATCCCAAGGAGAGCTTGCATTATCTCTGTTATTATTATCTTCATTAACAACTTAGATAAGGGAATAGAAGGGGAACTTACCAAATTTGCAGATGATACTTAGCTGGCAGGAATAGCTAACACCCAAGAAGATAGGCTCAAGATCCAGATGGATCTTGAAAGACTAGAACACTGGGCCATATCTAACAAAATGAAATTCAATGTAGAGAAAAGTAAAGTCCTACACTTAGGCAAGAAAAACAAAAAGTGCACATATAGACTTGGTGAAACCAGGCTCAATAGCAATAACTGTGAGAGGGATCTTGGAGTCTTAGTGGACAACCAGTTAAATATGAGCCAGCAGTGTGCAGCAGCCGCCAAAAAAGCGAATGCAATCCTAAATTGTATTAACAGAGGGATACAGTCAAGATCAAGGGAAGTACTAATACCACTCTATAAAGCCTTAGTAAGACCACACCTAGAGTACTGCACCCAGTTTTGTTCACCACATTATAAAAAAGATGTTGAGACTCTAGAAACAGTACAGAGAAGAG